CCGAGCGCCTCCATCGCTGCCTCGTCGATTGGTTCTCCATTATTCCCTTTGCGAATCATATCTCGCAACGACACCTCCGCATTCCCGAACAAGCATACTTTGAGGTTCCCGTCGCTTGTGATGCGCAGACGATTACATGTTCCGCAAAAGTTATGCGTCATGCTTGTAATGAATCCTACGCGACCTTCGAACCCGGGCACGCGATATGTCTTGCTCGTATCATTCTTGTGGTCGGCGACTTTCTCCAGGTTGGGGTACTTCTCTCGAATGATCGCGAGCATTTCCTTGTAGGGTAGCATTTTCCCCTGACTCCACTTATTCCCGTCGAACGGCATGTACTCGATGAATCTGACTTCAAGCGGCTTGTCTCGCCCAAGTTCAACGAAGGGGAGGATCTCCCTATCATTCAATCCGCGCATGACCACAGCGTTGATCTTCAGTTTTATGCCCGCTCCTTGCTTGTTCATTTCAAGGATACGGTTGATACTCTTCATCACGGCTTCGAACCCTTTCCGTCGGGTCATGAGCTGGAACTGGAACGGGTCTAACGTGTCCAGACTTAGGTTGATGCCCGTCAACCCAGCCTCTGCCATGCTATCTAGTTTTCGATGTAGCGAAATACCATTAGTGGTCAAACACAATTCGCGCAGCCCGTCACGGCGTAGGTTCCCTATTTGCTGCATCATAGGTATGATATCCTTCCGGACGGTCGGCTCACCGCCGGTCAAACGTATTTTAGTGACGCCCTGGGAGACGAAGAGGGAGGATAGGTAGACGATTTCCGGAGTTGTGAGGATCTTGGCGGCCGGCGAGAGCTCAACTCCCTCCTCGGGCATGCAATAGAGACATCGCAGGTTGCAGCGCTCCGTAACGCTGATACGGAGGTAGTCATGCTGCCTGTTGAAGGTGTCTGTCAAGAAATCGGAGAAGGGCTTCGCCTTCTTCAAGGCCGATGACCGCGGGGAGCGAGAGGGGGGAATCTGGTACGGGGTATATGGCAAGGGTGAGAGCGATGGCGATGGCGATGGCGATGGTGAGGGTGAGGGAGACGGAGACGCTGACAATGACGGCAGTGTATGTACAGGTTCACTGTTCTTCGTCGTACCAGGGGCTGCAACAGTACCGTGGCATCGTCGCCGGCGCCGAAAGTGGGACACGCAGCGCGGGGCGGAGAAGAGACCCCGCATACTGGCTGACGGAGACAGCAGCAGTGGAAGAGAGCGTCTCTGGAGTAACTCAGCCATGGTGGTATGCTATATTATCAGCATCCGGCTCATTGTGGCAGGTCGCAGCAGCGAGGACACAAGCAGGCGGAGGTTTATATATAGCTAACTATTATGGAGTGAGTGGTGAGTTGTACATGTATTTGTATTTGTCAAAGAGTCCCAAGTCCGCAGAGGCGTTCCCCGCGCGGAGACGGCCGGTGTTGGGGCTTAGTCAGACAGCTGGTCAGCCGCATTATTAACTAACTATTAACTTTCATTTATACTGCGTATAGTTAGTTACTCTGTCGTGATAAATATATATTGACAAGGACACGTTGGAGACAGGAGAATGATGGAATTACCTATACTACTAATATTCCTATGTTCATGCTATTTGTGTATCGGAATGGCCATCCTGATCCGCCTTTGTCCATGCAGCCCGCCCTGTAGCCGGCTCTCACAGCCCGTTTGTGCTACCGGTCTCCAGGTTGGTCATCTCAAGAGTGGGAGAGCCCGATTGGTTAAGCTCCACTACGCTGGAAGAAGAGAAATTATAGCCGGACGGGATATCAATTACATGTGCGGCATCATTCTTCTGTTTCACGCCAATCTCCCCTGGATACACAGCTTCGAAGGCTCGCTTTCATACGAAGATTATGCACCCTAAATCAGGGTTTCTGCGAGCATGCCGGTAGCCGGGAGGTAGTTACTGTACTTCGAATGGTTGCTCGAAACGGGATTCTTTATATCCGAAGCCTAGAACAGAACGCCTCTGCTTCTTCATTGTGATTTTCACCTGCGACTGAATGGTGTTAATATATCACACTTCGAAATTCTTGTCTTATCCTTGTTTATTTAGTGACGGCATAACTACTACTTCATATTGACATTGTAGCTCATTCGAGGGACTACCTACTTACGCGTCTCCTTAAGTTCTGGATCCCCTGCATCCTGACTCTTTTCAAGCCCAGCTCAATCCATTTGTACATTCGTTGTGTAGATATTGCCACTCGCAACGCTGAAGATTCAACACCACCCTTACGAATTAGGCGGAGTGGTCGTCTGAAAGCCGCTCGGACATTCTCATTCCACCGTTCATATTCCTCTCTCACGGAAGTGATGGAAAATAGGCTCGGAAAGCATACATGGTGCAACAATAATTTGTAAGTATGGTGTAATCCCCCCTAGTACTACGCTGCGTACAATAACCATACCCTTTTTTCTTCATCGCTCCCAACCGGTTCTACGGCGTCACACCCGCGGAATGCATCAGCCCCGCCGCGTCAGCAGGACTTGTCGAGGGGCCACCGAATCGAGCATAATGTCAATGATCTCCTGGTCCATGCGTTTCAGTTCCAAACAAGAAAGCTCCCCAAGTTTCAGGATATTACAAAGCTCCAGTCCCTCGAGGAGATCCATGGATTCGATTGCCCATTCCAATATATTCCGTAATGTCCCCTCGCTCGACTTCAAAATGCTTTGCAAAGCCTTATCTATATTTTTCCATGTGCCCGGTTCGCTTGCCCACATCTGCTCTGGAGTAACAATAGTATCTGGCGATCCGAGGGCATCATTGAGTTCCTGTATAATCTTGTCCAGTGTCGCACACGGCGACGGGACATTTGCATGCTGAGCCACCCAAAGCTCCAGAACACTCCAAGACACATCAAGGAGCTCGTGCCCTTGGAGTTCGAGGATAATTTTCGAGACTGCCTCGAGTCGCAGCAGTTCATCGCCCAAGAGCAACTGGAGCGACTCGGCCACCATAGCTCCATAGTGTGGACAGGGACCAATCATCAGCTCGGGCTCGTCAGGAGAGTCTTGAAATCTCTCGCTGTATTCAGGAAAATCCTCTCGTCCTTCGCGGACGTCCTGCTTGGACGACCCAGCGGACAAAGAGTTGCCATCATTTGAAAGTGCACTGTTGGGTTGGTGGGGACGATCATTCTCCGATCTTTCGGTCAATGGGTTTAAATCCTTTTCAATGGTCCCAGCGCCTTGTTTGCTGCGAGAATCTGAGTTCACGGCGGTGCCAGAGTTTCCGATGGCCGATGTCGTCCGCGATGACTTTTCTAGGTTGGCCGCCTGAGGTCCCCCCGCGGGGTTTTCTCGACTCTCCTTGTCGGTATCACCTTCGGTTACATTGCTTACATGGGAACTTTTGCCCTTTCCAGTTGATTGAATACCAACGGCGGTCTGCACACTTTTATCCAAATCTAATGAGTTGATCCGCTCACTCAATATCTCCAACGCCACAGCTGATTCTGGTACTGAATCAAGCCCCAAACTATGAGCATTTCCCAATGTGTTATGCGTGGTGCATTCTTCCGTCGTTATTATCGTATCAGTGGCGGGATCCGCGCGCGATGCCCGCTGCATGTCATTTCCCTGTTTCTGTTCGGATCCGCGAGTTTCGTCATACTTGACTTTCGGTAATCTCACCACCGGTTTGCGCCCACGTCGTTCGTCTTTTGTAGAGCCTCCAGCTGTATTTGCAATGAGATTTGCAGGCGGGGATTTTCCAGGTCCAGGGTCTTGGTCATTTCCTTTGGGTGCAGATAGGTGTTGCTCGCCAGATGTGAATATCGAGGTACATGATGCAGGATCCGGGTTATTTGCTTTTGAGCTTGACGGGCGTTGAGCACCAAATACAAACATTGGTTCTGCGGGTTTAGGCTGTGTGCTCTTGACTGAAGGTTCAAAAGAGTTGATCCTGGACGATAATATCGTGGGTTTTGGGGAATAGCCAGGGAAAAAAAGCGCTGGATTACATTGCCGTATTTGGCTGATATAGCCTGAAATCTTCGGTTTCCATACTCGGGATGACCAAAGCAACATATTTTCCACTATAACGCAAGTCTCAAGTACACCCCGGTCTTGACTCAGGCTGTGCTGCCAGATACATACCATTCTCTAGGGAAAATAAAATGAAACAAAGTCAATGGAAGCCAAAGACACAATCCGTACGAGTGAAAGGGGGTGTACTGCTTACATGGACATGACAAAGATTGTCCTTTATTTCGGAATAAGCCAGCCAAACTCTGATCTCCGATCCAACACATGTAAATGCAACTACGGGAGGAATAGAATCGTAGCTGCCTGTAGCAAACTTAGAGAGCTCTTCATTAAGCCGCAGAGCAACTAATGCCGCATTCGCTGCATGTGCGTAGTTTTCCTCGAATGGGAAAAGACCACGGCACTGCTCAACCACCGCCCAGGGGAAGCAGATGAACTTGTCCGGAGAGAGAAAGGTGAACTTGTCCTTCGTCCATCCATGAAGGCTGCCAACTGGAGAGGATATCAGGCCCGCAGAGCGTAGGTCCCCAAGTACCTCAAACGAAAAATTCGTCACAGGCTCTGCTGATCGAAGAGCGATGGGGACATCTCTAATAATTGGGTATCCATAGGTAAAATTTGGTTTTGGGCATTTCTCCGCATATTTCTTCGTGTCATCCCAAAGAATATTCTTCTCTCTAGACCGAACAAAAGGATTAACGCCACCTTTAAAGAGAGGGTAGGAAGGAATGGTACCTACAGAGAAAATTGATCAAACAACGCCCTTTTTGTTCAGTCATTAGATGGATGAAAGGACTACTTCAAGTTGTGGGAAGGGGCTTACTGTTGGTCCCTGCCACTTGGGAAACGGCTTTTATACTCTTTGAATATCTCCTCCAGAAGGCTTTGCCATTTATAATCCGGAGTATATGGAGGAGCTAGATCCCTAGCTCTCTTGGATAGGCCGGCACAGTGATCTATCCTCCGCCGCCCATCCTCAGTCATGGAAAGGAGCGGGGCGGGGTTATGCTGTATAGGCGGGGCCGGAAATCTCCCCGGAGTGAAAGGTTTACTGCGGTCGGGCCCCAAAGAACTAAAGTCTAAGAGGGCTTGTCTGTAAGACTCAACGTGAGCTGGCAGGGAAAGCGACACATCTCCATTTGCGTCCTCTGAGAAAACGCCTTCAAAGTAAACCATTCCATCTCTTTCCAGTTCTGCTCGACTAATAAGGGGTTTGTCGGGTGGCATTCTGCGGACTCTGTAACACTATCACAATGGTCAGAGAGGATGAATTTGGCTAGATTGAATTCAGGTTCCCAGAGTTACAAAGGATAACTCAAGATAGTTTCAAAGGGCGAGTGAGTCTTCTGATGCTGTAGGTAATGCTCAAATTATATGTGAAATGGGCGGAGAGGAGAGGAGAGGGGTGCGGAGAACCTTAGCTCTTATTCAAAATGCGAGCCCCGCCATGCCCAATGTGTCTGCTGGGTAAATCCCGGTGAAGTTCATTTTAAAACCTCCGACTGTTCGAGGTTGGAGGCGCATCAGTGAGGGCGGCTACTGCTCGATCTTGATAGGTTGTTGGACGATAGCGCACCGGTCTGGCATTCTAACGACATGACAGGGTTCATATCCTCTAAAATAATATACGACATAAGCGTAGCCCACCTTCGTGAATGCTCCAAGGTACCCCAATTGAGTTCGGTTGAGAAATCGGGGTTGGAATATTCGCTTGAGTGAGCAGGAGCTTTAATATCCACCAAACCCGGGCCCTGTAGGCACTACGCGGAAGGTAGCCACATAATTCATTATTTAGGCGAATTAATGTCAGGAGAAGAACAGAAAAGAGGGGAGCTGTGATAAATGTCCTGCTTCAAACAATCAATTCAACCAGAACGATTGGGTATTGTTTTGATTCATTCATCTTGAAACCAAGGTTGCTTGAGAGCATCTTTGGCCTTAATCCTTATTTAGATCAAAACTTGTCATTGATAGCCCTAAAGGACTTGTCAATGTCCTGCCACATGGAGATGCGATTTTTAGGGTCATCAGTTGTGAATTCGTCAGCCACTGATGTTATATTTAAGATCGCGCCATGAGGCCGACGAGGACTGGCCCGCCCCCATGGTGAGAAAGCAGGCGATTCACAGCAGTTCTTTCCTTCCGTATCAATACGGAAAATAATCCTCCGAAGCGTTGTAAAAATGCAATTTGAAAAAAAGGACGATGTCATTGAAATATCACGTTTCCGAAAGACAGGGTTTGGGCATACTTACGACAAGGCTGAAGGGAAAAATGACCAAAGGGATATTGATACGGGCAGCAGCATAGGAGGTATATGCAGGATAATAGGGGGTTCTGCTCTGTGTTGAAGGAGTGGATAGAATCCCGGTTTGACCAGCCAGCTTCGTGCCCAGCTTCAAGGCTTTCTCAGGAATATCAGTAGAAGCCGTTGGAATTGGCCCTAATTGTGTTGGTTGACATTCTTGTAATTGGCAGTTTGTTGGTGGATATGATCCGCAGGATTGGAATTGAAATACGCGGAAGCGCACAGTTCGAGCACGACTTCAAGTATTCAATAGAGAATATAATATCCATCGTCTAGAAATCATGGCATCTGAGTGCGAAGGAAGAGGGAGTCTCGATGATATTGTAACACTGAGCATGTAAAGAAGCGGAGTAAATTCCAATGTTGGTTCATATATTAACGACCCCGCCCAGCACACGATTTCAAGTCTGGACAGATTGCTTCGCAAAGGGATTCCTAAGGAGATTCCTAATTCCGCTAGCTAGCATTAAATTCAATTAATTAGTCAAAATCAAGCGTAGCTTAGAGGTGGCCTGCCGTGCTTGTGCTAGATTTTAGAATTTATATGTCTCTGCTCTCTGATTATTAAGAAAACAAACCTTGGCAAGATCTGAGAAAGCTATATTGTTACGTTACCATGAAGAATATAAAATCGATTGGAAAAAGGTACAACAAGGTTTATCGTAAAACATGAATGCCTTTCATTTATACTACTAATAGCTAATATTTAGTTAAACGTTGTGGTAATAGCCAAGCTTGAGTTTTTACCCGCAATGTCAACCAGGAGTCAAATAAAACAATTAAGTATATTCTCGCCAACATCCTCCAATATATATACCTCAGCAGGAGTTCGCAACAGCTGCTAATAAAGAACAGGTAGCGCATCTGTTATTCCGTCTGAGTATTGCCGATACATATGCGCTCTTGCCAGTACCAATAAACTATCCATAATTTGCGCTCTAGAAGGCCAGAGCACCATTCGAACCATCACTCTAAGTGAGAGCATTGCGGGCCGCGTCAAGGCTCTTCGATGGTCAAAACCACCCAGGCCCTTAATTGCCGAGCCCGATGCATTTACACCAGATAGCCAGCGCATTCTCTGCGCCAGCGGACACCGTATTTCCGTCTGGGACCTGCATGATGAGAACTGGTCTGCACAAATCGAAGCTGGCGACGCGCTCCATTTCACACATGTGGATTTTGCAGCAACGCATGATGAAGTGATCGCCTTTTCGGAATTCAACGCCCACCTAACCGTATTCTCTTTAGCGACGGGTGGGCAGAATGTGATAAAGTCACCCAAATTTTCCAATGCGGCTGGTTATGGCTTTCGTCCGGTGACAGGCCACCTTGCGCTGCTACTGAAACTTGATGCGAATGACACATTAACTATCCATGAGCCGGAAACCTATGAAGTTATCACCACCGTGACTCTTAACACGGTTGATGCTCAGGGCTTAAAATGGAGCCCGAATGGTGCGTGGCTTGCTGTCTGGGACTCTGCGAGCATGGTGCCGAGGGTAGAGATATACACGGCCGATGGGCAGCATTATAGGACCTATAGTGAGGGAACCAACGATTTAAATCTAGGAGTTAAAACGATAGAATGGAGCCCAGATTCACAACTTATGGCTGTTGGGAAACACGATGGAACTGTTGCTCTGCTGAACTGCAAGACAGTGAGTTTCCTATCTTCCGCTAATTACGCCAGGTATATGTGTCACTAAAGCTAACTTCAACTCCCTAGTTTTCTTTGCTTTCAGTTCTCAATGACCCTCTCTCATTCGGGTCAATAGGCCGCGACATCTACGTGGAGCAACAGTCCAGCGTCACGAACGGGACTGAATATGTCCTCGCCCCCAAATCAACTGTTTTCCCGTATACCTTCAGCAACGCCAGTGGTGGGGCCCGCGCAGTATCCTCCCTCACGTTCAACCAAACCGGTGATATGTTAGCAACAATAGACCATAGCCTCCCACATATCGTGTGGATGTGGTCAATGAAAAATAGCCAAACCCCGAGACTGATTGGCGGGTTGATACAAAAATCCAGCATCCGACAATTACTCTGGTGTCCCAAATTCCCGCAGCTTCTGATGACCATCAACGAAGATGATATACCCACAGCGCACCAATGGATATGCAATCATCGACCAAGGATCGCTCGAATCCCTCTTGCGGATGGGGGGAAGTACTCCGCCTCTTGGGTCAGGGCGGATACTGACCAGAGTGGTTTAATCTGGTATGGATGGCAGACTGGGTACACGTTTGGTTATGTCACCGGCAACGGCACGGAGACTAGCTTTACTCAGGTTCTAAATGTTGAAGACGAGCATCCCGCTTTGACTATGGATGACTTCCCCGTTACAGGAGCATGATAGCATGGTCTACGCCCTCCGTCTCCCTTTTATCTTCTTCCCACAAGAAGACAATTAGATGGCTTTTCTTTATTTATGAAATATCTTCTATGACTACGCAAATGTTACCGGGCTTGTTCTAAAAGGATTTAACTGGTACTGTTTTCCAGACAAAAGATATATTGTGGCATTCAAAAATTATATAGAGTTGAAGCTTGGAAGGTCCAAACTTTCCTTTTCCGGTAAAGGGATAAAACTTCAATCTAGCCCGATTCGGCCAAACGAGGGCTTAGGGCTAAATGGTAACTAGCTTAGTCATACCCCACTCGCAATTTCGCACCTTCTTTGGGCCGCGACTTGACGACTTCAAACTTCTTCTCGACCGCTGTTGAACACCTCGTCGTCGACAACCACCGCACATACCACCCAACATGGTTAGTTACAGCTGCCTGCTCTCCCTTTCTATGTTTCCAGTGGTAGATGAGAAGCCCAGCGCAAGGATGATGTGGGATGAAAAGATCCGGGACAAGCGAGAGAAGATTTACTGACGGGTTAATGATTGCGATTGCGATAGGCACCCGCAGCAACCTCCGGCGGCAAGAAGCAGAAGAAGAAGTGGTCCAAGGGCAAAGGTACGGAAGAAAATCACCCATAAGAGAGAGGAGGCTGTGATGCTAGGATTTGAGAGGGGAAGGGGGGGGGGGTTGTTTCTTGGAGAGGGGGATATTCGGATATCTTGCTTGGACATAACTAGGGCACACTCCTCCCCTGGATTCAAGCGCGAGAAAGGAGGGCAGAGAGGACAAATGGAAACTGACAATAAGATTTTCAAACAATACAGTCAAGGACAAGTCCAACCACGCCGTTGTCCTCGACAAGGCCACCTCCGAGAAGCTCTACAAGGATGTGCAATCCTACCGTCTCATCACCGTCGCCACCCTCGTCGATAGACTGAAGATCAACGGCAGCTTGGCCCGGGAGGCCCTCGCCGATCTGGAGGAGAAGGGTCAGATCAAGAAGGTTGTTGGTCACTCGAAGATGAACATCTACAGTATGTCGAATACCCCGTTTTTATATCTTCCGTCGTTTCTTTGGACGGACCAGATTTATCAGCGATGTTTCATATACCGTTTCCCACCTATTGTCCCAGTATTCTAACAACCCGTCCCTCCAGCCCGCGCCGTTACCGCAGCCGAGTAAACGAAATTTTCCGAACCATTTTCCGAACCATTTTCCGTTTCCTCTTCTTAACCCCGGGTTTTCGCGTTCGTCAAAGCGGTGTTCTTGATTTCATTGTTGTTGTCTTATTTTTTCCTTCCATGTTTATCTCGTCAGTCATGAGTGTATGGATATAAAAAAGAAATTAAAAAATATCTGCACTGCAGAGACAAGGATCTAAGATTCCACAGTATTCAAAATTGGTCAAGGTTTCCAATTGTGAATGGATAAAGTAACTGGATCTTCAGATAACCTGAGTAGAGGATCTATCGACCGTTACCAACACAAACAAACGTCGCATTTCCAGTCGAATTGATGTCCATGCTAGGTGCCTATATGGAAACTTTCTTAGGATCACGGGGGCTCCAAGAGTTGTACGGACTGGATGTAACATACCATTTAACATACTTGTTTGATGCTCTCTCATTTTACTTGTTGTACTCTGCACGAACGCTCTCACAAACCATGTACAGTAGATGGTAAACAAGGTACCTCCCTAACAGCTACAGTTAAAGTACAGGCCTTCCTAGCATGTTTCGCAATAGATAAATATCACCCATCTCAAAACCCACCAAAATCCACTAGATTTAATATCCCATCTATATATTCATCTCTTATTCCCACATCCCAAAAAAAAAAAAAGAAAAAAGAGAAAATAATCAGAAATGTTAAACCCCAACCAACAACACCCTAGCCCTCCCCACCATTAAGCCGCGACCTTAACGGCCTACTCTTCCGCGCCGCCTCACACAACTCCCTCTCCGGGCCCCCCATCAACCCCTCAACCCCAACCACCCTCCCAACCTCAAAATACTTCTCATGATTAGCAAAAAACTCCCTCCAATGCTCCACCTGCTTCCGCACACTCTCCCTCGCCTCCCTCCACTCCCGTTCGCGCCGCACCTTCTTCGCCGCAGCGCTCATGGCCCGCTCGGCCGCGCCACCATCGTCGTCTTCGACGGGGATGTACATGAGCTCCACGCCGCGGAGGTCGGGCGTGCGGTCCTCGGCGAAGCAGCCGGTGACGTAGGCGCGCGTGGCGTCGACGCCGGCAAGGGTGTTGTAGCCGCCACCCTTGCCGTAGATGCGCGGGTTGGCGGAGACGTCGAAGATGGTGCGGTTGATGGCGATGTAGATGGGGAGGGAAGGGTCGGTGCCGTTGTAGAGGGCGAGTTGGGCGGGGGTGAGGAGTATGGGGCCGCGCTGGATGGGATTAATTAATTAGATTTTGGCATAGGTTAGAGAAGAAAAGGGTGCTGCATGTATCTAGTAGGATTTTTTAAGAAGGAAGGGGGTTTCGTACGAGATAGCTCTTCAGGACAGGCCAGCGGAGAATCTTAAGTTTATACCCCCACAGGACAGAGTCGGTGGTGACATAGTATGAGAGCGCGGAGGAGGTGAGGAAGAGTAGGAAGATGACACGGAGGATATCGAGGGGGCTGATTGCCCAGCTGTGTCTGGGCTGTTCCGTTTGCTTTGAACTGGTACTACTGCTAGGTGTCTTCTCGTCGCCCAGTGAGGAGGTAGAGGCGTAATCTAGCTCATCACTTTCATCCGTGTCCGTTCTATCCTTCGTTGAGCGGGAGGGGCCTTTGCCAGGCCGCTGGCGGAGGTCGGACATTTTTTTTGTTTTTTTTTTTGTTTGTTTTTAAACTTCACTCTGTGGTAGAGCACAGGACAACGTTGGAAAGCTGTTGAGCTCGGCGAGCTATCTTTACTGCTCCAATATGCAATCTCTCGCGCCCTGCGAACGATGCCCGATATGTAGGCAGGCTATTTGCTGGGATATGTTGGGAGTTAGTTGTAAACAACTTGCATTGTTATCAATGTTAAGTGGTCGTCTTTATTAACTATTGGAAAAACATAACTGGCCGAGTCGACATTCCTGTTACGTCATAGAGTGATGATGATGGTCAACGGTTTATGAGAGCTTTAAGAGGGCACATTGAAGCGATAGATATAGAAATAAAAAATAAAAAAATACCAACGAAAGAGTATCTAACCCCAGGCGCAGGCTGGGAATATCTTTCCTATTCTTATTTAAGCGCCTACGCAGCGTACATCCGCAAACAAGCCCGTAGCAAATTGACATTGGGGGGTGCGAGTTGAGTTGCTGGATATTCAGTAGAAATACGGATGAAAATCATATATATATATATATATATATATTCGCAATTTCCCTACCCAACTCTATAAATCAACAAAGGTAGTAGTTTACTGGGTGTTTCGCCTTTCCCTTCTTCCCGTTTGCGTTCGAAGCAACCTGACTGGCCCAAAACTGCCCTCCCTCAACGATATAGGCACATGCAGGAAACTATAACAATAATAGATAAGGTATACCGTGGAAATCCATACAAGGAGTGTAAAAGCGATGAAAAGGGAAAAGCTGGGCATAGGGAGGGCCCTATCAGCACAAGGAATTAAACAGTTAAACAGAAAAATGTGCTCGAAAAAAAGAAAAAAAAAAAAAAAAAAAAAAAAAGAGGGGAAAAAGAGATGCGATACGACGAGGGTATTCTTCTTCCTCTTCCTCATACAAACGAAAACCAGTTCTCACGACTCCTGCTCCCAATTCCTCGAAAAGACTTCATTCAGCGCCGCCTGGAAGGTGCGGCAGTTCATGTCGATGAGGCCCTTTTTATCCTTGGCGTCTGCGTTTTTAATCACGGAGACGAGACATAGGTACCTAATAATAATAATAACATACCACATATCAGCCCTTCTTCCCGGACTAAAAAAAACGTAAAATACAGAAAATGGGCACCATACTTATTCATCTCCATGAGATGGATCATACTTTTGTCATGCAAGACGACATGACTTTCCGCCTCAGGGATCTGCGTGCCCTTGGGTTTGCGCTCGGGGTGGTCCCACGAATACAACTCGCTCACATCGACGATGACGTCGATGTAGTCCGAGCACATTTCGTAACAGGCCATGTCTACGGGCCTTGTGTCGGATGCGATGTAGATCTTGCTCAGCACGTCGAAGAGGTACGTCTTCTCCATGCCGGAGTTGTTGGCGAGGATGTTGATGAGGTTTTCGAGGGTGGAGAGCTGCGGGATGAGTTTCTGAATCACTTTGCTGAAGGCTTCGAAGACGGAGTAGTCGTATATCGACGTGAGGTAGTAGTGCACGGCCGCATTCTCGTAGCCGGCGTCGCTGAGCTCATCTGAAATGAGCTGGACGATGTCGTGGAACGTGTCGGCACGGTATTCCTCGGATAGGCCGTCTACTTTGTGAATAAAGACTTCGATGTTGATGTGAGGGTAGTATTGTTGTACGAGGAGGATGGTTCGGTTTAGCCTTGAGACGGCTTCCAGGTAGTCATCTTGGGCATCAATAACCCATACCAATGCGCCCAGATTGCCGAAAATATCTTCCAGGTCGAAGGATGGCTCGAGATATTCCAACTGGCCAGGGAAATCCCAAACCTGGAAGTCCATGAAGGAGCTGTATCAGGTTAGCGAAACAACCCAACATCGGACAGAAATCGCAAAAAAAAAAAAAAAAAAAAAAAAAAAAAAAAAAAAAAAAAAAAAAAAAAACCCACTGGATCGAATCCTTTTGGATGCGAGTTGTCGATTCGAGGAATAGCGTTTCCGTCGGAGGCATTTTATGAAAGACGACGCTCGAGATGGAAGATTTGCCGCTCCTTGACTCGCTTCATCAGCAACTGCATTTGCGCACTCCGTCATCAATAAACATATATCCCCCCTCGGGGCACTCACCGACGTAGCCCCATCAGCAATAACCGCGGCTTCGTATCACGAAACTTGTTACTGGATACTTGCCCAGACCTAGCCTGCGCTTGCGACTGCGCCTGGGCGCTTGGAGGATGTGGATGATTCGAGCCCTGTAGATTTTCCTCGAGGCTTAGCTGTGCTCTGGTTCTGATAATAGGACGGCAGCCATGCAAAACTGAGCTGTCAGAATAGACAAATCGATCCTGTCCCGGATCGACGGGGCGAAAATGCGATGGGGGAATTCGCGACATGGTGAGAAGGGAAGGGGGCAGAGGTCAATAAATGACGGAGCGAAAAATGCGCGACAGATAAACAAAAAATCACATCATTGTCATGATGACTTCTTTCGCTTGCGCGAGCTTGGCTTTGAAGCTGAATCGTGTTTTTTTTCTTGATTCTTTTCGTTTTCTTTGTGGTCCTGTTTCGAGAAGACTCCCTGAACCGGTCCTTAGACGCAGGAGAGGTTCGTACACACCGGGGGCAGTTCCCCCGAAGGCGCAAAAATACCAAAGATATTTATTTATTGCTGGCGACACAAATTCCGCGAGAGATTCGTCCCGGGCCTAGCCATTATCGCAAGAGGAAAGCGGTGAAGCCCGGCAAGGGGGATCGCAATTGCTCTCTGGCGGGTATAGTTATAGCAGAGCAAAGAAAGGAGGGGTTTTCTTTGTGCGCAGAAACAGAGATGGGAAGAAGAAAGAGAAGGAAAGCCAACGGAAGACACCAAAAGGTAAAAATAAAATAAACCAACGGTTCAGGACCGTAGCACTAGAAAGTCAAAAAAAGTAAATCTGAGAAAGAAGGTTTTTCGTTTTTCTCGTGGATTTTGGGGCCGATTCAAAGGAAATAAAAAAAGCATATATCATCACTGATGCCTTGACAGGAAGGAAACCCGGATGTGTTTATTTTAACAATAATAAGCTGGTCTGGTCTGCAGAAGCCATTCTATAGGTGAAAGGAGGCGAACGGAGGATGGACATAGTGGATGATAATATAAATAGTTGTTATATGGGGGGGGGCTCGCACAATCAAACAATGGGTATGGTATATGGAAAAAGGCAAAAACAGAACGTAATCTCGGGGACATGGCGCGACGAGGGAAGAAGAGCAAAGATATAAAAGAAAAAGAAAAAAAAAAAAAGAAAAAAAAAAGTCCACTGCGGAGCGGATGGAAAGTAGGTAGGGTAGAGAGAGCGAAAAGGTGAGTGAAAATAGGCAAAAACAAGCGGGGTCATCATCATCATCATCATCTTACCTCCATGTTTTTGGTGGCCAGCAAGAAGACAAGATTCCAGATCAGTGGATTAATTGGTTAATTTGTATCTATGGGGCGGAGGGCTGGATACGTCCGTCTATTATGGTAATATATTTAATAAGAGCAGCAATTAAAAGAGTGAAAACTATATCTGTCCTCAGCCCGGAATAAATAGTTAAGTAGTTAACGTAGTGTAGTAGTAGTAGTAGTAGTAGTAGTTAGTTAATAAATAGTGTGGACGTCGTTGCGCGGAGGAATCGGCGGGCGAAAGAAAGAGATAGCAAGTATTTAGCCTATTTATACAATTGATTAATTAATTAATTAATTAATTAATTCATTCATTCATTCATTATTAAGGATCAAGTCCATCAGCACATACTTCTGCTTGATAAAGACAAAGACAGGGGATTACACGTATATATATATATGGGATATCTAGGAAGAATAGGTAGATAGATAAATAGATGAGGTGTCAATGGGTTGTTGTGTATAGATAGATAGATAGATACCTAGGTTGAGGATGGAGTTGTTTAAATAAGCTTGAGGTGAAGAAATGAAGAAATGAAGAGATGAAGAGATGAAGAGATGAAGAGATGAGAGTTGTCTGATATATGAAGAAGGAAAAGAAAGAGGAGGCTGGAAAATAGATAAATAAGTTATAAATATTGCAACCAACTAGTTAAATAATAGATAGTTACAGACTCGACTCTGAGATTCATCCAACCAACACAGAACACAGGAGATGATGATGATGATGATGAATGGATTGATGAGGTACAGAGTATAGAATTAGAGAGTTGATTCAGTGCAATTTAAATAAATAGCCCAATCAAAACCCATGTCAATATCATTATGCCTGTTAATTGCTGAAGCTTCTGATTTGCCATTTATTATTTATATTTATTTATCTAAATATCTTCATCTTTCTCAGTAGAATGAATAATAAATTAATAAACAGACAGCCAGCAACAAAAGGAAAGAAAGAAATCTCTCTGACCATTAGAGACAAGAAAAAACATAGTCAATTGAGCCATGGAGTAATAAATAATATAGAATTGTTGGTGATTTTCAAATAGCTAAATAGCTAGTTAACTAACTTAATTAATGAATATTCAAATATTTAACGTCATCGCCGAATCGCCAAACAAATATTTAGACTTCCACCTCAACCTCAACATCTCCAACAAACAACAAACAGCAGCAACAACAACAACAACAACAACAACAACAACACTCCTCTACGCTTTTCCCCCATCACCAACATACTACTAGATTGTCTATTCTCGCTCTCAATCCTGCAACATGACGTCCCTTGTCCCCCGCGAACCCTACTCCAAAGAGGAGCTGCACAAGCTCTATCCAGACGGCTTACAACTACAATTGGTCCAGGTGGTGAGTCTCCCTGTTCATCTATTTATTTAGACACCGCTAAAGCCAACAAAAAAAAAAAAAAGACTACTTACTGTATACTAACCTATATCTGTTTCTTCTCTCGAATAGTTTCTACGCCATGGTAATTCCTTTTCCCCTGCGCATGTTCTCTCAGTAAACATCTATCTCTCTCCCAAACTCCAAACTTTTCTATATATATTCACATTCGCATCCCTCCTTTCCTAGGTGAACGGACTCCGGTATCTTCTCGCTTTCAAAATGTACGCCTGCTACTCTCTCCCAAAAATACAAATCAATTCGCATCCTATTTATAATATTCATTCCCGTGGCTAATTGATAGCTTAAATAGACCGGCCTAGCTCCATGTAAATGTCTCCCACTCTATTCACATTCCAGTACTCCATAAATCCACTGATGCCCAGCCCACTCCACCAGTTTGGCCGTATTGCAATGCCGCACGGAAAATGACCCAAATTGCCGCCTCAAAGGAGGATCTGTCTAGCTGGGATAGTTTCCAATGGCGGAGGAGGATGGAGAGATTTGGAGAAAACGACCAGGCATTGATGGCAGTAGGCCCGGAAGGAGAAGCTGAAGGCATCTGGCAAGTCATGACCCCATCTATATCTTTGCAACGAATCCAAACCACTCAGTCAGGGCGCTTATACCTCGAAAAAATTAGTCTACCAGGAGAATTGACCGATGAAGGCCGCGAGTCCACCTATGCGCTGGGTCGGCGACTACGGCACCTGTACGTCGACCAGCTGGGCTTCATGCCCAAAATCAGGTCGAACACCGATGACATGTATCTCCGCACTACCCCGATCCCTCGAGCTCTCGAGTCGCTCCAGCAGACCTTTTGGGGAATGTACCCTCCCGACGCACGAACTGCAAACTTCCCTCTGCCTACCATCGTGGCCCGCTCCCCCGCAGACGAAACCCTCTATCCCAATGAAAGCAATTGCCACCGCTTCAGACAACTAGCCCGCCTTTTTGCCCAGAAGGCAGCAAACAAATGTATTTTGCACGCAATGCCATGCCTACCCCTGCTTATAGATTGATTGCTATATTATGTCTCGTAATAAAACCCAATTCAATAAGGATGCCAAGACTAACTTTCAAACTCCTGCCGCTTGGTGGTGAATTCTGGTTGATTTTTCAGGGAACGAAACTGAAGACATGGAATACCTTAACTCCCTCTGGTCTAAATGGATGCCCTCAAACTCTCCCCGAGTGGCAGTTGATTCCAGCCCTCGCCTGTCCGGTATCATGGACACAATCAATTCCACTCTAGGACATGGCCCTGGCACACGTCTCCCGGCAGAATTCTACGACTCCAAGGCCCGCGAATTAGGCGAAAAAATTGTCACAGATGAGTGGTTTGCTGGATACAACGAGAGCAACGAATACCGTAAACTAGGCATCGGCGCTCTCATGGGCGACATTGTCGATCGCATGGTCCATGCATCGGTTGATGGCGGCTGGCGACCAACCACAAACGGAACCGGCAACGGCAACGGGATCGTCAAATTCGCCCTAAGCGGCTGCCACGATACCACCATCGCCGCAATCCTGACTAGTCTGGGGACATTTGACGGCGGGAAGTGGCCGCCCTACACCTCCTCGATAGCAGTAGAGCTCTTCAAAGCCACCGCCCAACCCCACGGCCCCAGACCAGGCGATATCCTCGAAGAACTAAACGTCCCTGATCTAGAAAACTCAGCATCAAAAGCAAAACAAACCGGCCTGATGTCTAAGTTTTTCGGTGGCGAGTCATCGCCAGCACCTAGCTTCCCGCAGCCCTCCAAAATCGCACGCTCGGCCACATCAGATCTCCCCACCTCGCCACTACAAAAATACTACGTCCGCGTCCGCTACAATGACCAGCCCATGCGTATCCCCGGCTGCGCGGCAAAGCCCAGCAACCATCTCCCCGGCAACGACACGTTCTGCACGCTCGAGGCGTTCAAGAAGATCGCAGATAAATTCACCCCGCGCAACTGGCACCAGGAATGCGGGAACAATTTGGGCGGGGGGATGTATGTGGAGGGGAATGATCCTGCTGGGTATTGAGGTGATTTGATTTCCAACGGTATTTATTATAAATGCGTAGGACGAGATATATAAGTATTGAACTTGGGTATATGTAAGTTGAGAATTGTATATACGTAATAATAATTTATAAGGGTCTGAAAGGGGGTGAGGGAGCCTTTGCACAAAATTTTGGGATATTCAGAAAAATTTACAAGCGTCTAGGATGGCTGTTGTTGTTATTTCCTTTTGTTTTTTTCGTTCTCTTAAGAATAACTAACCATCTAGATAGATCCTGGTCAAATATTCTAGGACACACTCCACCCAAACTTATGAACCGAGAGAGTAGAATGCTTAATAAAAGCCTTATATCCTGATTGAAAGCCTCCGTACTTTTACATTCATACATGCACACCACCCACAAACCTCTCATAAGCATAACTATAAAAGCAGTAACGACAGCATATCGTAAGGTCATATCATATCGCATATCGCAAAAATCATCCAGTCGCCTCAGTCGCCTCTGTTTATGGGGCGTTCATTCTCCTCCCCTCCTGACCAACACCTCCTACACCTCCTACTCCCCCTCCTCATCCCCCAACGGCTTCCGGCCCACCACCACAGACACCGGCGTATACGAATGTATACTCTTATCCTTCACACTCGCGCGGAAATTCGCCAGGAGCACCTGCACCTCCTCCACATCCCACTTCATCACGCGCGTCAGCAGCGCCAACGCCCACCCCTCGCAGCCCTGCAGACACTCAAGCTGGTGATAGCGCCCGACCTGCTTGAGCGTCGGGTCCTTCGGCCACGGCCCCACCACCAGCTTAAACCGCGTCTCCTCCACCCCTGCAAACCCGGTGTCAACCATGACGTCGCGCTGGGTCTCGCTGATCGTCGTCGTCTTGCCCGTGCGCTCGCCGCACTCGCGGAACAGCCGGCCCCACTGGCGGAGGGTGTGTTTCTTGTCGTCTGGGATGGAGCCGTCGTCGCTCTCGACCCAGACGGAGGCGTTGCTTATTTCCAGATAGCCGCCGGGCTTGAGGCAGGTGAGGCACTGTTTCATGAAGGCGGTCCAGTCGGGGATGCAGCCGAAGAGGTCGCGGACGTGGATGTAGTCGAAGGTGTTGGCGGGAAAGGTCCAGGGGTACTCGGTTGCGTCGTCGACTTGGAATCTCAGGTTGGGGGGCACCCAGCCCGGCTGCGTGGGGGAGAGGTCTGTGCCGATTACCATGGCTTCCGGGTGTTGGTCGGCGAAGTCGATGGCCCAGATTCCTGCGGAGATATATGGTTAATAAATAAGTCGGGGGACATATTTCAGGGTGGGTTTTTTAGTTTGGAAGAACAAAAAAATCACCATACCCGTTCCTGTTCCGACGTCAAGTACTTTCTGTAGTTTTTACGGTGGTTTAGCTGCGAATCTTGGATGGAACGGCATAGTAGGGAGAACGGGTGGGTGGCAGCTACCTGGGGCTTGCTGATAGGCGCCAGATACAGTTTCTGCTCCTTGAGCAACATATATCCATGATGTGCAAGATCTAGGGCCTCCTGAGCGGTCTCGTCATTTGGTCCCCAATACGCCCCGGCTTTATATGCGTGATATCGACGCCCATGCTCCCTTTTTGTCGGTATTAGCATTGCCCTTTTTCTCCCCCGCTATTCTTTTGAGAGCTGGAGGGAGCATATAGTCAAGAGCGGGTGAAGCTTACACGCGATATTGATAGATCGAGGAGGCTATTGAGCTGGTCTCCGAACTATAGAATGGTAATTGGGTTAGTAAATAGTGAACATCCAAGGCTTTCCTCAATAATTGATTTTACTTAACATGCAACTAGCTGTGCAATGCAACAAGTATCATGGAATAGGGGGGGAAGGAGATAATTGTTTTAAGGGGAAAACCTGGATAAATAAAATAAATAAAAAACCTACACCTCATCCTCGAAGCTTTCGGCATCTTCCTCACTGTCATCGACAACGATGTGAAACGGGTCTTGAACCGGTTCAGCCATGATCTTGGAGTGGCAGATACAACTTCAGAGGCTTTTATACAGAACGAGGGACTCCGAATTTTGAAGCTCGGTGTGCTGCTGCAACAAAAACCGACATTAGCAAGATGTAAAATGTGTCCCAAAGCACTGGGTAGATAGAGATGTAACAGGAGATTCACGCCGACGTACCACAATTAGCAGAAAGAGGAAACCAGTGGAATGGGTGAATTAACGGATCAATCCGCCATTTTCCAATGCAGGGGGGGTTTGTGCGGCGCCTATGGATATATGTATATATGTATATACATATATATATACATGGCCCGCCAGGATCCGGAGGCTGCACACGAGGGGACATCAATCATCCTAGACAACCAGCCCGCCCGCACCATCTCATCCCATGTTCATGTCCCATCTTCATGTTGATGTCCCTGTTGATGTCCCTGTTCATGCCCCTGTTCATGCCCCTGTTCATGCCCCTGTCCATGCCGCTTGTTCTCTGCACAGGATTGCGCCGGTGATTGCGGCGGAGGATGGCCCGCGGCCCGTCTGACATGGATTGTTAAATGTTAACTAATGAGTATATTCTTCCGTTTCCTGTCACTTGCATATCGCTGGTAATAATTGCTTTTTCTTATTATGCTTCTGTTTCTTCTCTGAGGAACGGAATCTCTTCCTGTCAATTCCATGACTGAAGCTGGATTGTTCTGGACGCCATTTTCTTCGCGAGAACATCTCCGCTTCCCAGTGATGGCGCTAAATAAATAAAGAAATAAATAATCGCGCCAACAGCAGCATCCTTCGACTCCTCTAACCGCTTCAAGCTGTTATCCGTAGTCGGCTTCAGAAACCCTGCACAACATGCCATCCGTGGAGCAAGGCATTTTGCTTTTGCGAGCTGACGCTTACACGCACAGTGACAGGGAACTGTTCGGTTCGTATAGCCTATCGCCTACCGTTCTTTACATATTTACGCTGTAGTAGAGACCCATTAGCGTCGTCGCCGCTCGGAGTTATTCTCGCATTGGTGGGCTGGGAAGTTCTATATGCTTCTTAACTGACCATGCGCTCCACCTGCACAACGGCATCCGCAGCGCATAAATGGTGCCATTTGTCCCACAGTCTCGCTTTGTGGGGGCAGCATACGGTGTGGGTTGGAATATCCTAGTTCGAAAGCAAAGCAACTCGCGCTGCATGACTTAGTTTTCAAACGGCGGACTGGCGTAGGGCGCCGTCGAGGCTGCAGGCGGGCAAAGAGAGACGCCAGATGAGTATTTTGAAGGTTGGAGCTTGCTTTCAATCTCCAGCTTTGTGGAGGACGTGGAGAGTTCTTAACGGGGAATGCTTGACACCAGCCTCCATTTTGACTTCGCTCCTCAACACAAAAGAAAAACCCCCCTTGTAGGGAAAAATATAGCTAGGATACTCTGTAGTTACTGGTAAGTTAGTTAAAGAAGGCTTCTAGCAACTGTGTATATGCGCTAATTATATGATGCAGATATAAATACCGTCAACGGCGTCTCCTGGAATTGGGCCGGGGACAGGAGATATTTTCCAACAAGAGATGCAGCAATTCAGTCCTCTCATGCAATATATTTCACCGAAACTAGCTGCAGGGAACTTCGAGTTTCTTGAGACAGCAGAGAATACAACATACTGCAATCGCAATGCAGCTCCTATGCCATTGACGGAAGTGAGATGGGCCTCTACGCTAGGATATTGGACATGCATTATGCACCCAGAGCACATCATCATCCCTTGTTCCTGTTGAATTCATGAATTCCCTTAGAATTACCTTAGATTTCCACCTCTGAGGTACTCTTTGAGCCGCGAATTCTCTCCCTTCTTTCGGTTATTCCTCTCGCATAACTGCTCCCCATTCTCCTCTATTATCATCCTACCTACCATCTTCCTCAATTCCTCCTTCAATCTCCCATGACATTCATTTCTGCGTTCACTTCATATACCTTCCGAATAACAGATCCCATCGACTCGCTCCGTATCCATCAGGTCATTGTCCCGCAGGTATTGGAACATACATTCGATAGCCTCGTCAGGCAGACTGTTGAAATCGACTTTCGCTACTCCCATCTGGACCCCTCGATAGTAATCCTTTGGACGCCAACAGTTTATACATCAGCCGTGGCTTTTCCTTGGCTCATTCCACTGGGACTTTTCACATACGTATCCATTTTTGACCTCGCAGCGGAGATGCGTCAAGAAATCGCTCTGCTTGGGGAATGACAGTTCGCTGAACTTGTACTTCCAGGTCAAGTCTCATTTATTTCGTGACGGGCCCCTTTGTCTGCAGGGTCTGCTCGTCTTTCGGAGTTTCGGTGCTCTCGCGCTGAATTCGCCTAACTTAGCTTGATTAGGAGGAGTCATGGTAGACGTCTTACTGCCATTTTTGACGAGAACAGTGGCCTGCGTCTAACGCGCGCTGCTTGGCCAGAATTTCCTTTTTCTATCGCACGAGGAGCGAAACCCTTGTTCAGGCAGACATTTAAAAAGATGCACAAGATTTGGTTCAAGAAGCTGTTTGGTCGGGTCTTTTGACTGTGAGAGAGTGGTTTGAGAACGAGTTAAAGGTGAAGAAAAGTGAGAGAGAGATAATAACAACCATATCAAAACGATGCTAAATATTCTCAGCTAACTGACATAACACAAGCGAGCATACCAGTGGATTCAAACGATTCTTAACAATGGCAATGAATGAAACCGTCTCGGGCAGCCGTTCAGATCCCTTTTCATGTTGAAGTCGATGCCTTCGTCATTTCCCGCTCACTACGCGGGCTATAGGTACTACGATGTGATATACTCACTCATTTACTGATGTCACTGGCAATTGTCCCCTTGGTCGATTGTGTAACCAAACTTTGGCTGTCTCCCATGCGCAATCAAGGGGGAAAGGTTGGTGGTGATATTTAGGGGTGTCTGCAAAAATAATAAGCAACGCCCAATGCCCCCTGCTGTCGTCAGCCGATGAGTAGAGGAAACTCGATATACCCTAACCTTACTCTGCGACCAGATGGACAAATGGCCTCTGCTATTACTCCCTTCCTTTCCTTTCCTTTTTTTTTTTTTCATTTTGCTTCAAGCTCACAAGGTCGTTTTATCCTCTGGCCGATTCGCAAGCCATGCCATGCTCCTGGGCACGCACTCCGTTGGCAGGCAATGAGATCTATTTTAGGGCAGGTTTGTCGGTTTGCCAATTGTGTATTGGCAGAAATCAATATATCCGGTCATCATTAGGTTATAATTCAACAAAATTTAAATACTAAAGGGCGGATGAAACAGGAAATGCTCATGATCCTTGAACGTTTAGCTGTCCGGATAACAATATCCGTTACATCCACAACGCTAGCATTCAGCAGCTATTCTTGGGCGAGCCGGCTAAACCAGCACATTGCCCGCTGCGTCCTCCTATCCCATCTCCTGCACAGTCCAACCCATAATCGCGTGTCCCTTTCCGGGAACTTCACCCCAGGCAAATGGGACGGAGTCAATTAGCCTCCGCTGCCCGATCTGTTTGTGCATATTGCTTATCTGCTCTACCTCCTGGTCTGTCAGGGAAACCGGACGCAGGTTCTCGTCCATCCGGGCCCGCGAGGCCGAATGTGGAATGGGAACGATGCCACGCTTGACCAGCCAGGAAATTAAACATTATATCGAGATGCAAGCGAGGTCAAGGTTGGGTGGGAGTACATAGGCGAGGTATCGAAATAGAGACTCTTCGGTCCACCACCAAGAGGTCTATTGGTTTAGAGTAGGTGATAGGAATGGTTAGCAGATGTTCTTTTCTAACAAGAGTGCATGCGGATCATCCCACTCATAACGAAGTTATACCCCTCAAAGAAGGACGGGGATGGTCGAATGAAAAGGACGACCTACCCCCAAGAGATTACCCGAATCCCTCTTTCCAGACAATACGGAACGAGCTTCAAATTTGGATTGTATGGATGCACTTCAATAAGGTTAACCACCGGCTTAATCGTGCATTCTTTCAACAACACGTCCAGCGTCTTCTGTGAAAAGTTGCACACCCCAATACTCCTACACTCAGCGCCGACAAGTTTTTCCATCTTCTTATACGTCTCCACGAACGTGGGGCTTTCTTCAATGCTTCTCCATCGCCCGTCTTCGCCCGAAGCATTGGGCCAGTGCATGAGGAAGATATCAATATAACCGACACCTAGCCTCGCCAGGGACTCGCGTAACGAAGCCTTAGGGTCATGATGCTGGGTTTGCACGAGCTTGGTCACGACCGTCAATTCGGAGCGGGGTACACCTGAGGCTCGGATGGCCGCACCAAGAAGGTCCTCCGTGGCATACATTGGTGCAGTGTCTATATAACGGTATCCTGCAAGTATGGCCTGTTTGAGGATTTCGGTGACTTTGGGCCTATCTTCATCCGGGAAGATCATGCCATCTATTCGACATATTTCTTTCTTAGTTGATGCTCATTTTGCGTCATGTCTGCCACTGCGCGGATGGCCAGGGCTAACACTGCATTCCCCCAAAGCCAACGGCAGGAATCACGCTTCCTATATGTGAATAAGGGAGTTAGCATCAAGCTCTGGAGATTGTGCCTTCGCGCAGTCAACATACCATCGCTCAGTTTATAGGTCTTTGTGGTGACTGCGCGTTCTGCACTCATAGTTACGGCTTCGGCAGAAAATAGTTTTTGAGAACAGTATCTCACAGAACTCGGAGGGACAGCAGGGACAGCAGGGAGGACGATATTTAATTAGCCTAATGCCTTCTTCTACAGAAATGAATTTGATTCCAGGAGCGGGACATGGAGCTCAGACAAAGTGGTCAACCAGAGAGGAACCCCAAAACCGTACGCTCCCGGAACCATTATTTAAGAAGAAGGGAGCCTTCGCGTTCCCCTCCCCTCCTTCCAACTATCTCGCCATATTTCGAAAAGTGTAGCGCCGTTTCTAAACCCGGAAACATTCGGTGCTTTTCTCTTTCCCTAAACCCGCTAGCCGCTGGCCCAGCTATCGTTATCAATGTTGAATTCTGGGTTCCACCGCAAGAATGGGATTGGGTGTTTTTTGCAGGGGACTATTCAAGCTGAGTAAAATGTGTTTGAAGCCGCGTAGTTCTATAGAAATGGCTACTGATGCTGTTCTATTACCTCTACCTACCATCCTGACCTGTAGCAGTTAATAGATCCCGGAAGAGGAGTGGTACTGAGTTCATCGGGATTAAACAGCGATAAATACTTTGATCAGCTGGTATCAAAAATATGTACAGTACTGTACGCAGTACATGCATTTCACTGACTCGGTAGACTTAGCGGCGGAGATATAAACCTCTAGCCCTGTCGTCGATGGAGCGTATAATTGGACTGAGTAAGCAGCACAAAGTAACTACCAGTCATTAGCTCATTTTATTCAGCAACTGAAATCAGCGAATCCCGATCGTCGGTGATCTATCGGGAGCCTGAGATCAAGACCATGAATGGTCCGACCGCAGCGACTGTCGGTTCTCGGAGGCGGAAGGAAGGAAGTCAGATCAGATGCGAAGGTACACAGCACACGGATGTATGGAAGATATTATTAGTCTATAGCTAGGCCAGGCTTGTATAAATAAACTTCTATCGTACAGCGTCTCCTTGCATACGTGATGTGTCAAAATATAGGTTAAAAAAACAAAATCAAGAGAACAAAACAATAAGTAAAGAATAGCAAAGCCTCAAAAAAGTAACAGAAAAATAAAAATCTAAATGCCCATGGACCTCGGGGTCGAGAACCAGAGAACCCAGGCCGAAGAGACGGTGGGAACGAAAAGGAAAAACCCACAAGGCTAATCCCCCATACTCCCCGCAACCTTCTGCGGCGCATCCTCTCCATGTCCTCCATGATCAACTCTAGTAGTAGCACTAGAGGTAGAACTAGAACTAGACTGACGTTTACCGCGCCGTTTATCCTTATTCCCCTCTTCCTCCTTCATCCATCCTTTCTTCCACGGCTTCTGCTTCTCTTTGGCCCCATCGCCTGCACTAGCATCCGCACCCGCATCCGCCTCCGTATGCCTATTCTCTCTTTGCCTCCACCCGCCATAATGCGCCGCACGCGCAAGCCTAGAATCGTAGTACAGATTGTGAACAGGAACATAGCGCTGCGCACACAGCATATCGCCAACACGGACGCGGAGCAGGTCAAAGGCAACGATGACAGGAACGGGAACCCCGTCCAGCTGCATCATGGCCGGCGCCGGCCCGCTGCGAATCTGGTCTCTCCATCTAGAACCAGAGCCACGCCCATCACCATTGCCATAGTCACTGCCATTGTCATTGCCAAGGTCGTTCTTCGAAACAGGGACGTCTGGTGGATTATTTGCTCGCCACTCCCCGATATCATGCGGGCGCCTATTGGGCTGTGGGGATCCGGATTCGGAGCGCGCAGCGGGGGAGGAGGGAGAGCGGGAGGGAGAGCGGGAAGGAGAGCGGGAGGGAGAGCCGCAGTTGGAAGCATCCCAGATCTTCAAGCGCGGGACGGTGGGTTTGTGCGCGTACCGCTGACTGAAATGGGTAAGGATGACGTTGCGCGCGCGCATGCGTTCGGCGACCCGTAGTGCCTCGCCGCAGGTACTATGCCGCTTGGCCTTGGCGTCCCGCAGCATGTCATCTTCGAAGGTTGCCTCGTGGATCAGCACGGTTGAGTCAGCACCGATTCTGGCAAATTCGCGCGATGGGCGACAGTCGCCAGAGTAGGAGACTTTGAAGCCAGAGGGGAAAACGAACGACGTAGCCATAGCGCCATGGCAGTGCATGACAGGGACGGTGAGGAGGGAGCTGAGGCCCGTGGCTTGCTGGAGTTGAGTAGCGAAGGGTGACCGGTCGGGGTTGAAGGAGAGGTGAATTTTCACCGGGTTCCCATTTTCGTCGAGAATGGGTTGGCGGTCGCGGCTCAGATGGCTGTACTTGAAGTTATCCCCGAAGCTTGTGTCGGCTTCTACGGGCAGGAGTTTGTCGAAGCCGTAGTTCTCGATGCCGGAGTACTCGGCGAGCCATTCTATCATTTTCGCGTCGGAGGCGACAAAAAGTCTCTTTTCACTTAGTAGTTTCGTAAGATCGTACTCTGGTTCGGGTACGGGCGCTGTTGAAGACAGAGCTCCGTGCGTAACTTCATGCCAGGCCCGGATAACGGACACAGTCCCCAGATGATGGTCCGCGTGTAAGTGGCTTATCCATATCACTTTCAAATCGCGCAAGACCTCCCGCAACTCCTCCGGAGAGAACGCGCGCTGTAGCTGCCCAAGGGTATTTTCACCACAGTCAAATAAATAGTTCCCAACGCCAGGGACCCTGAGTAGTGTAGCAGAAACAGTGCGGTATTTCGACGGCAGGGAAGAGCCTGTTCCCAGCGTGATAATTTCTGCATCTTGGTTAGGGACATTCCGGCGCACGTTCTCTAGAAATTCCTGAAACTGAGGACTCTGGATATCCTGATTTGCCGCACGTGCTGCTCTCTTGACTCGGAAAGAAACATTATTCCTGATACCTTCCCCATCGAGAGGTTGATGAACGCCGCTGCTGTTGATCTGGAATTTCGGTTGCAACTCGACCCGTAAATTGGGACGTGCGGGTATGAACACCGACTTCAGTGGGTCCTTTGTTGATGAATCAGGAAGAGGTCCAGGTGTAAGGAACGTCTTCTGTGGGACCTCTTCATTATTATGGTGTGGCAAGTGGAAACGTTCATTGTCGATGAATGAGAAATGCGCAGTCTCTGTCGAACCTAAGGAAAACGCTAGGTAATTCGGACAGTAATCCGGAGAAGAGACGATGTGCTTGTACTGGGACATTTTAGACACGAATTCCTGTAAGAGGGGATGGCTACCAACACCTGGACCAAGGATCCAAATAAAGCTTGCAAGCCCTTTCATCACCTCTGGCGTAGTCCACTCAGGTCTATTGACAAGATTCTCCACGTAGTCAGGTGTGGGGATATCCACAAACGCAAGTCCTCCGCCGGGCTGAGATTCTCCAAGAACCATGTCAGGAGTGATTATCTTCCCATCCGAAGACTCCACGCTCTGGCCTGAGGTCAACTTGCCAAACTTGGGTCCCTTTTTGACCCCCAGAGCTATGGCTTTCGCCGGATTGAACTTCCCCCGTACATCATGATGTTGAATAATATAGGAAATAGATACGTCTGACGGGGTAGTGGGGGGTAGAGTCTGCGTCATCGCGCCAGGCCATGGCTTCCGAACCAAAACAGGAATATCAGGAACTGGCTGGGTGCCGTCAGGCACAGGCCCCGTATATGGTTCGAGCTTGTGAGTTTCCCGGTTGCGGACGAAGACTTTCGCGGGTAGCCGGACCTCAGGGAGGCGCATTTCCACCAGAGAATCGAGGCGCCAGTCCGAATTGAACATGTCAGACACCACTGCTTGGCAGACTATTTGGTCCTGCGCGCGTTTGTCGGAATCGCTGACATTCTTCCCTTCAGAACGTAGTTCATTAGCCGCAGCAGCACCCGCACCCTCCTGGAACTCATCCAGACTTCGCTTCCGGGCATTCTTCGTATCCTCAGCAGAACCAACAGGTGATCCACGAGAAGACGTCGGTGACACGGAGAGTGCCCATACCTTCAGATGCGAATCAGTCCATGTAGGTTTCGCCACGTTTCTCTCACATCCCTCTCCTTTCCCCTCCCCCTCCCTTCCCCCCTGCCCCTCCTCCTTCCCGACTGCAAACTCATTACTAAACTCATTAAACTCATTAATATAAACCGGCATCCCCGTTCTAAAAATGAACTTCCTCGCCGTCGCCACCGTCCGCGTCAAATTCGGCCCGCCATGGATAGCCAGCTTCCCCCTCAGGTCGAAGCCCTCAGCAAGCCGCCTATTGCTCTCCTCAAGCAACTCTATACGGTCCCGGTAGTACTGCCACTGTTCCCGATTCTCCGTCTGCTCCGCCAGCCTCTTCAACCGTAGGGTTTTCGCTTGACGCACCTCCCTCTGCGACCAAGCAGAGGTATTCACTGACTCAGCAAGCGTCAAAATGATCCCGAGCAGCCCGCCATTGTTCGTCCACGACGTCCTCCCGGACATGAAAATGTCCGTCACATACGAAAGCCGGATGTTGCGGTGGTTGCAGGCCCGCTGCAGGCCCTCAGGTATATGCCCGAAGAGATAACGCTTGTCATCGAAGTGGATGATTAGGGACGTGCCCGGCGTATCTGCCGTGGGCGTGGTGATGAACTCACAGAAGAATATCATCGGATGGTGGCCGCTGGCTTTGGAGTCGAAGGCGCGCGTACCGGGGTAGAGGGAGATGTTATCGGGATCGTAGAAGAGATACCGATCCCAATGAACGCCGCCTAGTTTATAGGGATCGAGTTTCGGGGCGAGGAAGATGGGGAGTTCGAGGGTTGGCTCCCTGGGGAAATCTGAGGTTCTGTATGGAAGCTCGTTGGGCGTTGTGCGCCGGGCGTTGGCGTTGAAATGGCGGGATTTACCAGGGGGCTTGTATTTCAGGAGGCATGAATACGGTGCTGGAACGGGGAACAAGGAAGTTCTGCGAATTGCATTCGTCAGAAGCGTTCCAGCGGCACGGAGGGACGCCAATTTGCCAGAATTTTCCCGGTCAGGCCGACGGATGTCGACCAGCTAGCGATATACGGAGTATGAGGGTGTAAGCTCCCAAACAAGTTAACGACCACTTGTTAAGAACATAAAAGGAAGTACTATAGAATATAAGGTGTGTGG